ACAGCTGAGCTACATGTAAGCCTAGATCAAGCCAATGCTAGGTCTAGTATTTTTCAGGCCCAGGCCTTGCTCAGGCCTATTTTACAGTACACAAAATTCAAACATCACAAATACATGTACAAATGTAATTGAAGAGGGCTTCACAATTAGTGGAGTATAGGCTTTGATGTGTCATCACAATCAAACAGATAATTGCCGTAAAGCAAATGTGGAAGGGATTTATTATTGAATTTATTACCGGATGTCTTTTTAGAACCAATCAGCTGCTAGCAAGAATTGTAATTCATTGCCGCAAGACTACGAGAGGCCTACAAATGTTGAGACAAGATCTACCTATGAACAAAAGAGCACCCTCACCAACAAAGAGAAAGCTACGTCTGTTCAAATTAGTTTGTGCCCACGCAAACATGATTAGGACCAAACATTCCAGAGCTGTTGTGCGTATATATTCGGCACTCCTTGTGCAAAAGGAACATAAGCCTAAACATGAAAGTGTTGGCTGTTGCCTTTAGGAATGCAGAAATACACTGTAAGTGTTCCAGCTCCGAGTAGCATAATTGATTGTTTGGAATAAAATGACATCCCAAACTGGGATCCCAGCGGGATGTCAGTCGCATCAAACTGGGATCCCAGTAGGAGTCACTTGCGTCCAACTGGGATATGTCAGTGGGATGTGACTGGAATCCCACCAGGATGCCGGCTGTCCCTCACAAATTCGGACAAAAATTCCTGAGATTCAAGTGGGATACCATCCGCGTCCTGGTGGGATCTCAGTGGGATTCCCACTGGGATCCCAGTCACTTTTTTTCTGGAGTACAACCGGAAAATGCACACTTATAATAGTTGGCACTTACATGTACATCACCATTTGGCTCCCTTGGTCACCATAAAACATGAACTATGCAGTGTGTTCTCGGTAAAGTGGACCAGGTTTGCTGTCCCAGCATGGCACACATACATGTAGTTCATGCGAGGAATACAGAGTGATCAGGGTGCTTTTAACCTGAGTTCCGGAAATAGGCCATTTTAATCAAAATAACACAAGCTGGAAATTGTGCAAATACCATGAACAAGTTTAATGATGGATATCCAAATGAGATCGTTTGAAGCCCTTTTTATTATTATATTAACTACATGTATCCATCAATAAAATACTGAAATTCAATGGGAGCACCTATGTTATTGCAAATACATGTGTACACAGATCATGGTATTTTTATTTATAGTATGTTCATTTCTGAGCAAGGCCACATTTATGAACTACTATGAACTTTCTCAGAAATCGTAAATAAATAGGTATGTGAAATAACGGCTAAAAGAGGGCGCCCTTTATGTCTGTGTTTTTTTGCGCACCGTCTCTAAATCAGTCTGGCAGCAGATACCTTCAGATTATCGCCTGTATTGTTACAGCGTGGTGGGGATGTGAGAAACTAGACCTTAGAAGATAACCACCCATGTATCGCTGTTCAAACCAACTGCACTTTCTTTTTGTCGGACGTTTGCAAATTCTAAACATCATCTGCTGAAAATTGTGCTGGTTGATTTCATTCCGAGTTTAGTCCAAGGTAGGATAGTTTAAGAATAAAACCTTATAATTCATGAACTATATAAATTAATCTACATTTACAAAAATTTCCGTGGAAATTCATGGAGTTGCAAAAAATTTTGTATGTTCTGCCAAAAAGTGGTTGATACGTTCATGGCAATTGTGGTGCAACTCTCTTGCTGGCCATTCGGCGATCTAATGGAACTTTGTCACACATTGTGCTTTTAAAATAGGCATCATCGTGCCCAAATTGTAACCAAAACTACATATTAATGTAATGTTTGATGTGCCATTGTCCCAAAAATGTGTTTGTTACAAAAAATCTTAAATTGCAAAGCGGATGATGATGGATTTTTCTGGCTTTTTTTGACCGTATATCTGGTTTTTTCTCAAATTCTTGCCTTACTCATAAGCAACAAAAAAAAATTCTTTTTTTGCCCTACAAATGCAATTTATTAGTGTGGTAGTGGTGTAGAGGGATTTTAAGTAACATTCTCAATTTCTTTCATGTTCATGACTCATGCGGGAAGGCATAAGTAGCGTAACAGATGATTATAGTAGGCTTACGTCACTGGAATGATTTTTTTTTTTAAAGGAGAAATCGCCATCATATTAAATGTAGACCACTAGAAAAGAAACAGTCTAGACCTGATGCCGATTTCTTTTTTTTATATATCTCTGTTCCTTCTTTGACTTATTCTTTGTTTCTCAACCCTTTTTTTCTCGATATTATTTGGCAGGTGCAAAACAATGCCACCAAAGAAAAAAAGGAAGGTGATTCCTGCAAAATTACCTGGCCGTCTTTGGCAGTGCCTAAGTTTTTAAATGATCAGTTCTAAAAGATCTCATTTCACAGGCATCGTTTTGGGTCACAGGCTTTTCTTTGTTTTTCTTTAAAAATATATCGGACATAAGGAAAGGAATATTTAACCAGAGCTTATCTGTCTGTTTGCTGACAGAACAGAGGCCTTTTTCGCATACTTTTGTACATTTGAAGAACTACGGCATCAACACATCAAGTGTTCTTTTTGATCAACCACGTTGTCCTAATTTTATTCCAGAAAAACTGAAATACAAGCAGTGACAAGTGAGGAATCAGGTTTTTGCTTCTCTTTTCGTGTGGTTGGAATGAATGTGAGAACAATAAAAAAGATCTATGATTGCCGTGGATGTCAAACAGATGCAGATTTATGGAATTATTTTATAGTTTATAGCACACATTCCTGGTTTCGGTTAGATAGATTTTCACACAATACTTGTACATGTTGTATATAAAGGACCAAAAAACCCTAACAGAGCATAAAGCTAGCACAAGGAGCATTGGCATTTTCTGATCCGCCAATAAAAATCTTTGGAAAATGAAGTTCAGTGCGGACACGGAAGACCAGGTGATTTTTAATTCCCAACCTGTAGGGCTGTGATACATGTACATGTATACATGTGCCAATGAGTAATACAAGAAGCACTGCCAACAAGATAATCCAAAACCGCAAACTTGATGGCGGCGATAGGGAAACAAAACCTTTTGACAGGCAGGTTGATAGCTGCATGCTGAAGTGTCACGTTACATCTTATTTCCTCATCAAAAGAGACAATATAAACGTGATACTGGATGACTGAAACCACAAAGTATGCAGTCACTGTTGTGGATATAATTGTCTGCTTTCATCTTATGAGGGTTGTGGGAACATTCTGAAGAAATTAGCCAGAATACCGCGGTATTGAAATTCAATACCGAATTGGTCGTATTCTGGTATTCATGGATTGTTAGTCGGTATTGTTTGGTATTAAAAACAAAATCGAGGTATTCGGTCATACCGAAATACTGCCCAAGCCAATCCTCCAGTCTAGGTTAAAAACAATCCAAACAAGCAAATGAAGATTTTTGCAAGTTGAGTCATAAAGCTAATCTGCCTGTCTGCAAATGTATTGTCAATTTTCTTGAATTTATTTCAACTTTGGAATCCCTGCCTTTGGAGCATCAAACAAAGCAAGACTCAACATGAGATCATCACTGGTGCACATACATGGCATATTTGACAGATTTTAAACACAGTGGGAGCTATACAAAGCTTAGAGAGGTATTAGTAAAAGCTTTGAATGGTGTAGTAATATTATCCTCCCAAGATACTTTTTCTCAAGGCAAAGCTCAATGATCACCAAGGGAGGCTAGTTTCATTATACCAAGTTGTTTTTTAATACCTCTCCTACAAATTCCGCTTGAGTTAAGCGATCAGTGATTAATTAACCCTCCTTTGGTTTTACAGCACAAATGTGCACAAATGCCCACAGTCACTGGTGGGCATGTATTTTCTATATGGAACTCAAACGTGCACAGGTTCAGTGTGTACACAGTAGGTTGCCAGCACAAAATGATCCAGGGTCTTTTGTGCAGTCCTCTTCACTGCATTTAATTTACTGCACGATTATGCACATGAAACAGTGAAGCACAGTTGTTGGGCAGCACAAAAGTGCAATCTGATATTCCTGTGAGGGACAGTTGGTGCAATGCACAACACCGCTGTGCTTCTTTGGGGTGTTTACCAAGTGACCCAAAGAGTGACTTCAGCATAGGAGGGTTAAGGCAATAAAAATGTGCTTGGCTGGCCTTAAACATTTAAGACTGGATCAGAAGACTGAACACTTATAATGCCAAAGCTTATACTCTGGGCAGCTTATACAGAAACATTTGGAAGAATGAAATCAGTCACTAAGCAACATGCCATGCCGTGCTTCAGCACAGCCTAACCCAGACAGCCACCATGGCCGGCCAGCCAGCCACGCATGCAAGCGGCACAGCACTACAGGCGCAGGGCCAAGGCAGTCATGTTTTCAGAGGTTGCCGTTTACATTGTCTCTACTCACATGTTGGAAATACAGGAAACCAGTCTAGAGGGATTAAATAGACTTGTAAATGTACCTTAAATACCGTTCAAACCTCACAAATCACATGGTGCATCTGTTCGTTTTTGTCTTTTACAGTTACGTAATCTACATGTGTGTTGTTCTTTGTTTCACTGGTCAGTTGGGTGACTGTAAAAAAAATTGCTGCATGACCCAACCAGCAAGGACATGAATCCAGCCTGCTGATATGTTTGAATTTCAGATGAAATTTCATGACACTAAAACTGTTCACAAAGGTTCAAAAGGTATCATGAAGGCAATAGTGTCATGATTTAACCGAGTGGATTTGAAGTTAGAGCTTTGCCAGCACTATATGGCACATAATACTAGACACTAGTGCTTCAGCAGTGCAGCATGTGCGATGACTTGTGTGATGACACCTTGTCAGTACAATGTGTAGGTTGGATAACGCTGAGAATCAACTTTTCCATTTATGTTTAACTATGGACAAGTTAAGAACTATACATTTTCACTGGGCGAAACTTTCATTCCCTTCAATCATTAAAAATCAGCCTCATGAGTCTGGCACAAACTATATAAATGTACTTACTGAGCCTAATAGGCGAAAAATCAGAGGATGGTGGTCTTATCTCCAGATACAAAGGCTTAGTTGTGCTGGTGTGGTAACTCAATTTATACATCAGCAGGACTCCATGAGTGTCTTCTGGACTCTCCCAATGGGCATAATAGTCACCATTCTCCAGTCTCTCCACCACAAAATTTGGAGGTTGTCCAGGAACTATTAAAAAAAATACCTCTGTTATCATCAAAGATCGTATAGCGCCAAAGGCGCAAGATGGATAACTCTTCCCAAAAGGTGTAATTACCATGGGCGCCATATGAACAAGCGATACGCCTGCGCGGTTTACGGTGATGCTTCGGCGCAAGCTCACCAGGTGCACGTGGCTGCCGGGGCGCCTGCGCGTACGCAGTAATGTGCATTGCACAGGCATATCACTTGCTCAAATAGCGCGTTTGCGATTACAACGTTTTACGTGTATTCGCGCTGAAGTTCTCCATCTTGCACCGCTAAGCGGCACTATACGATCTTTGGTTATCATACAGCTGTAAGTATTCACAGTTTACACCTTCAAGATTTCACAAGGACATGAAATCTTGATAATACATGAATATACATGTATCTTAAGCAATGGAAGTTTAGGCAATAGTGGATGATATCCATACTCATCCCCATGCTCATTCCCATTGTGTTGGTACACTAACATGGACTTGGGCTAGTCTATTAAAGTGAGTGTGAAGCCTCTCAAGCATTGGTGTGCCATAGTGGGGCATGACAGTGAATATCACTCTGTGAAAGTTTCACTCTTTGAGAGTAAAAATGGGTAATGGGAGAAGAAATGTCATACAAATCTAGAAAAATGGCCACAGGGATCTGAATTTGCCATTTAAGACTTAACAAAGGGCTCTTTGAGGTATCTTTATCGATTAAAAATGTCAGTTTTTTTTTATAAAAATAATCCTGTACCTGAGACAAGTTCACTGTGGATTAACATCGTCCACAACTAATTAAACTGCCTAACAGAAGCAATGGTTTTTAAACAAATTGCTGTTTGAACAATACAAACTTAATTTCACTAATTAATCCTAATAATCATGAGGCAATCATCATGCAACCTATCAAGTTTAATGCCAGAAATTCACAGCTTTGTTTCTAAGAGTAATAAAAATGTACCCATGAGAAATTTGTGACAGTTGCATACTAATAGATCAAAAAAGAATCAACAATGGTTGGTCAAGCACTCTGTTTGTGTGCAGGTCAGGACAACACACACAAATAACAATCTTGAAAGCTGTGAGTATTTCCATCCAAATTAATATCAAGAGCATTTGAAACATTCGGCAGCTCTACCACCTTCTATAAAAGGACTGTACACTAAATTATCATATAATATAATGTTACAGTCTTTGAATGTCTACATCTGAATTCATATATCTATCAATATTGAATAGTTACATTTTATCGCAGTTGTTTCCCTTTACCTTGTCCAGGAGTTTGTGCCAGTTTTGGTCTGCTACGTTCTCCATCTCCTTTGATGGTATAAGCAGCAATTTCGATTGAATAGTAAGTCTTCGGAGACAGATTTGTCAGGACGATATCCTGCAAAGAAATCAGGCAAATTAAAACATTATGCTGTGATATCACCACTTTCTTACACAATCACACGTGTCCACACTTGATTGATCCTAGGTATACTGTAACTAAAGTAAAATCTCAATAACTCTAACCTACGAGGAGTAGATAAAAAATTTGAGTTATCCAAATTTCAAGATAACACAAGTTCCTGAGTCATGGGGTCATGTACTGACTGTGTACATAAATGAAACTAACTTGCTCTGCGGTGGCAACATTTTTGTAGTAAGTTTTCTTTTATTTGTTTTAAAAATGCATAGTTTTGCTCAAAAATCAATTTAGTGAGAGTTTATGATGTTGTTCAACCCAAAGTTCTTTTTCTTTTGAAAAATAAACAATAAACCACCATTTAAATGTTGTCCCTTTGTGTGGCAAAACTTTTGTGTTGTTAGGTCTGTCATGTGACAGCACAACACGAACCACAATTTCAGGCTTACTTTCTACTTGGGTTTTTCCTATGTGTGGTCACATGTCCATTTCATTTCTTTTGTGGTCACATAGCTGCTACAGAGTCAGCAACTGGACTGCCTGTGTGCAGGCTACAACTGGGCCTGCAGTAGCAATCAGGCTAGCTTCAAAGCCAGGATTTGTTGTGGTTTAAGCAGTGTGCACACAATTGGTTCCTGTGTGAAAAGATGAAGTGCGCATGGCAGTGCTGACTTGTAACTGTCGTCTTGCACTTGTTTATACACTATTTGACGGTTTTGGCAGTGGTTTTGTTTGGTTGGCATCACAAAAACTAGAAGATAAGCGATGTAGTGGTAAAGACAATTTCAAGTTACGGACGTAATTTTTCGATATAAAGCCTATCTTTTTAGCAGGAATGGCATATGTCTTTGAGATGAACAGCGTTTCAAAGTAGAGTTATCAAGATTTTACTGCAATACATATCCTCTGACTAATTTTACCAAATGCATCTGAAGCAAAAAATTACAGTACAAAGTCAAACTAGGTGCATACTGGATGAAATAGTCAGATTAAGATGAAATAATATTTAAGTTGCAAATACAATCACACATCTTATGCACTTATTTCTGAGAATAGTAATCAAACACAGCGTTTGAAAAATTCCATGACTATTCCATGACTTTAGTCATTTGTACAAAATTCAATGACTTTTCCAGACCTGGAAAATGAAAACAAATTTCCATGACTTTTCCAGGCCGCGGGAACCCTGTATTAATGAAGAAATTGAACAGCTAAGCACTACAACAACCCTTGTGTGCCTACTTCAGTAATTTTTTAATTGTGTCATCCAAATGAACTTTTAAAAATTAATAAACGCAAAGGGTATCAGGATCCAATATAAACTGTTTGCTGAAACTTGTCTAACGTGAGACAAAGTCTTGGTATATACATGTACAAAGTATTCACACAGCTCTCAAAACAGACCACCAAAACATTGAAGGCAGTTGGGTTTTAATATCAAATTAATTGAGTTTAATGAAATCAATCCTAGGGTACTGGCAGATTGCGAGATAAGATGACTTTTCATCATCTTCCTCAGATTAATCAACAGCATTTCTTGACATTGGCTCAAGGGGTGTTTGGAGACAACTATGTACGTGACATTGTATTTTCAAAATGACGACTATCCAACATCACTGAAAAATAAGGCTAATTACAGGTGGTGGTTGTAACAGCAACCATCACAGAACTGCTTAGGGTTTCAAGTTGTTTAATGGGGAAAATAAGGCATGTTCTTCATAAAATGGACCACAATACAACTCCAGATGTCATTTTTCAAAACTTCTCAAAGAGTGACTTTGATCATGTAAACTACAAATTAGCACCTTCAGATTTATAAAAATGATTATATGGGGATAATTAGGCAAAATATGTACTTATGGTGGACGTTTGGTTTGCTACCAGTGCAAATCAAATGGAATTGAATTCATTTAAAGTTTTTACATCAAAGTGTTTACACCAGAAGACTTGATTTCAAAACTTCTCTCAACTAGAAGGCAACTCCAGTATATTTTTCCACTGCTGTATTTTAAAGCACCTAAGACATAATTTTAAAAAATATAAGCCGCGAAAAAAACCCACAAAATTGACGGAAAATGATGAGAAAAGTTTGGCTCTCTTTATTCTCTTACCGTTTATAATCACTCTCACTATACCAACATATTTGCCAGGTCTTATATCTTTCGACAATTAAAAACTATCTTTAAGTTTGGCTGCATCAAAAACTTATAATGAGTACAATGTTCGTTGCGAACGTCATATTTGACAGAATTTTGATGACATTCGAGCATTTTGACAGAAACTGCATGACGTTCGAGAAGGCCGAAAATGCAGTCACATTTAGTGCTCGAAAATTCCATGCGCGATTTTCATTTTGCCAGTTATTTTGGAGGTAACTCCCCTGAAAATAAAATTTAAATTAACAACTCTGAGCATTAGATTTTCATCATAAATCATATTTTATGATTCGAACGTCATTCTTTTGAAAACGTCATTCAGAATGACAGATTTTCTTTTGAGAAAAATTGTTCAGAAGAGAAAAATCATGGAGCATCGCCATTCCATGGAGGGGCTCATGAATATCAAATAAAAAGGAGGGCCCACTGTCTGGGTTGATGTCAAAGGTCAAACAGGCCACGATGCAGCAAAACGTTTCTCTAACGTCACCGCAAGAGATTGATGGAAGCCGCAAAATTGCCACGATCTAACATTGCAGAGTTATCACAAATGTGTACAAAGTCAATGGGCTGGAAGCACGTGCGCAGAAAAACTTCTCCTTTAATTTCATGTCACATGATTTTTGGCTTAACTGGAAAACAAATATGAAATATTATTTGATAACCTGACTCTTGAGTATATTTGCAATCGAACAGAAGGGAAAATTTAGTCTGATTTCTCTTTCGTTCTGGTACTAATTCTCAGTCGAAGTTGAGAACTGCTCAAGCATTATGCTTGACAATTGTGTGTACAAACCCAATGGCAAAAAATCGAAGATCGGGTACACTGTACAGTCTTAACGTTGTGCAACAACGCCACCTATGGTTCAATATAGGACAGTTTGTTGAAAATTGAAACCCCAGGCAGGTGTAACTGTAATTCTGCAATAGCGCCCTCTTAGCCAGATATAAGACAGTCCGAAAACTGCATGCAATCTGTGTACAAAGTCTATAGCAAAAATTAGTTACTCCAAATTCAAAAAGAAATCACGTGATGATGTGGTCATCACAAATTTCTTCTAGGACCATCCTTGGATGATTGTCGAAAGGTCTGCCAAGTTTGAAGTCAATCAAATTTAGTAAACTGCCAAAGTCGACTGGAGGAAGGAATTAAGTCGAGAAAAAAAAAAGACTAGAGGTGGTGTTTGTGAACAAACACTGGCTGTTGCAGAGTTTGCTGTTTTAGTCAAATCGTATTATAAAAGAAGAATGTTTACAAAATAGATCTGATATGATATTACAGTTTCATGGAATACAGATGAGTTACCAAAATATTGGCTATACTGGCTATATATCTGTGTAGAAAGTCAATTTGAAAAAAAAAATCATAAGTAAATTCTTTGAGTGAACATTTAATGTCAAATGACTTGTCTCCTGATGATGTCATCATCACATAAGGCAAATATTCCTCTAAAGTACACCATTTTCAAGATATCTGCAAGATTTGAATCCGATCAGACATCTACTTCAGGAGATATAGTTCCCTAAACAGTGCACATTTAATGTCACGTTACTTATAGCCTGATGACGTAATCAACACAGCAGGTCAACATTCATCTGTGACACTTTGCTTTCTAGTTATCTGCAAAATTTCAACGAGACAGGACATGTCCTTCACAAGATAAAAGGCTTTGAAGTTCATGCCAAGTCAAACAACGTGTATAAACCCTATGGGGAAAATGAAATATTGAAAAATCAGTATGAAATAAAGTGATGATGTCATCATGACGTCATTCATTTTCAATAAATCGTGCATCAGGGTCTTTGTTTGCTATCAATTCGTCAACGATCAAACATTGCAAAGTTACCAAACTTGTGGCTCGAAAACATGTACAAAATCAATGGGCCATAACGTCATTTGCAGAAACACTGCTCCTTTAAGTTCGTGTCACGTGATTTGCCCTTAAACTGAACAATTTTTATGAAATATTACTTCATATTCGGACTCTTAGATGTAATTCAAATCAAATAACACAGCGTAAAGTGACCGATTTCTCTTTCGTTCTTATAGTAATGTTGAGCCGAAGTAAAGGACTACTCGTTCACTAGTGTTAAGTACAAAAATGTGTACTAAACATATGGGGAAAAATTAAATATTCAAAAATCAATATAAAATAAGGTGATGACGTCATCATGACGTCACCACTTTGCAATAAATTTTGCATCAAAATCTTTGTTGGCTGTCCCTTTGGCAACGATCAAACATCTTGAAGTTACCAAAATCGCTCAAAGTCAAGGGCCGTACACTCGTTTGCAGAAATGCTGTTTTTTTAACCACTTCCTGCCGGGGACTCTGGGATCGGAGACGTACATATATGCTTTATATGTGTGGCCGGAGTCTACAAACTCAGACAAAGGGAACAGGGCCCTGTAACAAAAGATCGTGCTCCGAACAAAAGACCAGGCTGCTGAGAATTATCGAAACTTTTCACTCTCAAAAGTGGAGATAATCCAGCCTTCTTTTTAAACCGTATACCAGGGTTTGGGGCATTTAGAGCGAGCGGATTACCACCGGGGACAAAAGCGCTCCACCACCACTGCGACGAGCCACACAGCACCCCTGCACGCTAATCTGGCCCCTATTGAAAAGAGGTCAGCAGTGCACTGAGCCAGGTTCGTGAACAAAAGAAAGTTACATAACACCACACTATCTGGGCTCTGTTTACAAGGCTGCAGGCCTGGCTGAAATACTCGGGCGTCAATGAAGGTCACTTGTCAACTTAGAGTAGTGCCTAAAGATTACTTGGTGCGGCTATAAACGATCGTTAAATGAAATGATGAATTTTTGAAAGATTTTGAAAACGAAAAAATGATAGTCATGCTGGGCCCAGCATCATCAACATTGAAAAATGCCCCAGCATGAAGTGGTTAAAAGACTTAACATAATCCCTCTTACCCTTATATCTGGAAGTGCAACCCACTCAACTTGAGGTGGTCCCAATGGTTCTTCATCAGCTGACACAACCTGGTAGTGAACTTGGTAGCCGCGAATTTCACCATGTTGTCGATCCAAAGCAGGTGGGCTCCATCGAACAGCAATGGTGGTTGAATTCAGGGCTTCAGCTACAACCTTACGTGGTGGACCATCCGGTACTGCATAAATAGACAAATAGCGTGTCATCTAAAAGGAGTTACACATACATCGACTTGTACATTACATAAGAAACACAAGTCACTTTTTCATTGGTTTTCAGTATCAGTCTCCTTTCCTGTGGGACTTACTCTGGATTTTCCTTTTGGTTTTTAACTTCAATTCATGATGGGCAATATTCTCAACTTTTAAAAATTAATGTTAAAAACTGAACATTTTAGTCTTCTGTTTTCATACTACCCATAGCAGTCGATAAATATGATTATTTATCCTTATTTTATTTACTAAAAACTTGATCAACTGTAGTGTGCCCTCTTCTCCCACAATGCATAGAGGTGCGGCTGCCATGTTCGCCACAAATGCGTCAAGATGTTTAAAAGTCCTTGCCAACGTGAAACGATGGGACCATACACCTTTAGAGTAATGACCTATTTCCAGTTTTCCCGGGAGGAACAAGGTCAACAGAGACTCATAATCAAGCTCAAACCACTGAACAAGTTTATCCATCCGTGGAAATTCTGCACGAAGATGCTCCAGACAGTAACCCAGTCTCTTCAAATCCCAGCTTGGGAATCATCAATAGACCTGAAAGATGCCTAACTTTACACTCTAATTCACCAATAAGACTGCAAGTTTCTCCACTTCATGTACAAAGAGAGCTTGTTCGAGTTCAAGGCCCTTTCGGCCTCTCCACATTGCCGAGGTTCTTCACCCGAGTAGTGAATATCATTGCCGCTCATCTCCGGAAAAGGGATGTCGTATTGTTCCAGTATCTAGGCAATTGGCTCATTGTCAGCAGAACACATAATGACAGAGCGGCTTCTACCAGCCTCACCTACGACCTCACAAATCGCTTGGGGTTCCTCATCAATCACCAGAAATCAAGGCCCACCCCTACACGACACCTAAAATACCTAGGGGCCGTCCTTGAACTCCGACAAGGCATAATCACACTGACGAGCGATTGCATCGATAACCTTCTAGAATGAGTGAACGTCTTCTCCTCCAGACAGTCGGCCTCCGCCCAAGCTTGGCTATGCCTACTTGGGCTAGTGGCCAGCATGGTGGACCTGGTTCTCCTTTGCCGACTATAGACCTTTTTCTAGTGATGTCACAATCATGTTCGACCTATGATGTGTTGTGATGTAGTGTGGGCAGTTCTAGAATTCTCCAACCCCAACTACATGTAAGGACTGCGATTCTGAGTTAGAACTGGCTACAAAGATATTAAGAAAAACATACGGTTTAATAGAACCCATTAAAGATCTGTCGCTGCCATGCAACATGCATATCACGCTGGTGCCACAGCACTCACCGATGGCACAACAGACTGGCTTTAACAGACTGGCTGGAATAAATCTACAACATGTACAACCATAATACAACTCAGTTCTACTTCCTCCTGCACTATTTTCCACTCTACGTACATATATAAAAGTACTTTAATCAAAACAACAACCGATTCGCTGTTGTAAGTACATGTAACTTGACCCATAATGCAAATGGAATTTTTGTCCATGCCATGGAACTTCATGTATGGCTGGATCACATGTACTTATTGAACATGTGCCAAAGTATCGTAAATGGCCATGGACCATGCATAAACTGGTTATTCATCCACAGTGGGTGCATGAAAATCTCTGATACGACCATTATCTTGAAAGCTATGCCGTTACACGGGTCCATGCATGGAACCGGCTCAAAAGTGAGAAGTTGAGAACCGAGACCCTCGCTGGTACACAAGTTCGGGCAACGGCTAGGCTATTTCTTCACCAAACGATTTTTCCTGGTGTCATACATGTACATGCGGAAAGTACAACACGTCACATGCAAGTACCAGGCTAACTTCACCAATGTTGAAGTCACACCCACATGTAAACAGTCTTTGAGCTTCATGGCCTCTGGCCGTCAAAGCTCCGCTGCATCATGCGTGCAATAACCAATGTGGTTTGATACCCAGACACAAAGGTATTTTACAGTTCATTTGTGTACACATTTTCCCTGCCCTGCTAAATGTACAGCATGCTGTACACGTACACGCGGGAGTGGCGGTGACTCGGATGACTGGAACTCAGATTTGATGTTTGAAGTCGGCTCTTGAATGTGGTACCGCCAAGGGTGGGTACCTGGTTCTTCACAAAAGCAGAGCCGCCAATTCTGATTTTTTTTTGGAACTGCAGTTCCACTCGGAACCGGAAGCACCACAGAAGCCTATTGTGATGGTAATGGTGCAAAGTGTTGTGATGGTAATCTACCTATTCAAGATAAATTAGTCAAGCATGCAGCGCTTGCAAGTGGTTGAGGCTACCCATAGGAATATATGTGATCACCCTGGCCAAGGCAGTCCAAACGTGGTGGTGGTGTGTACATTTAGTCACGTGGGTGACAAAGGTCTATACATGAGACCACTACAACTACATCTGCTAGTGCTCTTCAGGCAGAAGAAGGTCCGAATTGATCTACCTGTTCCCATTATGGACCTCATCCATCCCCACCTCCAGAAGTGGCTGACAAGAAGACCCCTCTCTTGAGGAGTAAACCTGGAGATAACAATAACCACGGATGCATACCACCTCGGATAGGGAGCCTCCCTACCCCCACTCCAGGCAGGAGCTTGGGAGCCCCAATTCCAAGGGAGCTAAATGTATATCAACATGCTAGAACTCCAAGTGCCATTCAATGCACTACAATACTTTTGCGCGAGCATCAAGGGCAAAGGCATCTTCATACACTCGGACAACTCTACAGTGGTGGCCAATATTAACAGCATGGGAGGCACTCATTCTCCTTAACTCTTGACCTGGCACAAGACCAGGGGATTGAACTCCAAGTGACCCACATCCCAGGAGTCAACAACTCAATCATAGATGCCCTCTACCGGTGTTCTGCACAGATGTCGTCACCCACAGGCCTGGGCAACAAGTGCTCTCCATATCAACTGGGGTGGGGTGCTGGCCCACGCCTTTCCACCAATACTCCTAATCCTAGCAGTGCTCTCCAAAATCGAACGGGAGCATTGCCCCTTCTGGCATGCCAACCCTGGTCATTCACACACCACTCGTCCTGCCGTCCTGCCCTCCAGCCAGACCTTCTCCATCAGACGAAGTCGGGCATACTCTACCCTCAGCCCTTATCCCTACACCTGACTTGCTGGCCATTGTTAAACAATCAGTCCAATCAGCGGGACTTTCTGAAGAAGCTGCTGAGATGTCAGCAAGGGATAAACGCCAATCCGCACGCAGCGTCTACAGCAGCATAATGTTATACTTCACTTGCAGAGCAGAGTCTTAGTCCGACTGGAGTTCCAGTGACCACTTTGGCTGATTTCTTAATGTACCCATTCAAATCCGGCCTAAGGATAGCGACCATCTACTGGTCTGCCATCACAGCTATACATACATGTAGTGGCTTCCCTGATGGCTCGACTCTTTCAGATGGCACAATTAAACACCTTCTTCAGGGGTTGCTTGTAGAGTGCCCCCTACAAAACAACTGATTCCTTCCTGGGACTCATCAGATGTCCTCCGGCTCCTTGCCAGCCTTTCATTTGAGCCCCTCAGCAAGGCCTGGTTACCACACAGTACAGTGAAATTAGCCTTACTACTGGCAGTTACCACTTTACAACGAGGCAGAGAACCGAAATTACTATCCATTGCCGATGGCCACATCAGATGGGAACCACATGGCATAAGCCTCGTTCCAGCCTTGGGTTTTCGCATCGAGCTGCAACCCGGACACTATAGTCAGATGGGTGTTCTCAGCCATCAAATTTGCCAACCTTGACTAGCCAGACACTTTGGACAATCAGACTCAACTTTATCAGGGCCCATGACATCAGAGCAGTATCTACTTCCACAGCCTGTTTCCACGGTGGTTTGACGGAGGAGATATGTGAGGCAGCATGCTGGAAGATTCCACTGACATTTACCTCATGCTGCCTCACCACTGTCCTGCAAACAGACTGCTGACATGGCTGGGAGATCCTGGCGTCAGCCACGATGACTCCAAGGGGCTCCTAATTGGAATGGACCAACACTGAACTACCTTACAGCTCCTTTGTCTGGTCAGTCTGCCTTATAGCTCTTTTGCTTTGTACATCATATATCTACTTCTAACCACACATTTCTCTTCCTCACGTACAGTAGTGTGTCCTTGCCTTACCCAACTCTGGGGAACGGTGCTACTCTGCATATAATAGCGACTGTTTGGGGTAATATTAAAGCAGTGGACTTTTTCCCCACTGATGTGTGGGAGGGTCTGCAAGTGAATACTTATCCCACACAGTCAGTTCCCAACCGTCCTCCCCACTTTGGGCTCAGATGGTATCATACCGGTATCATTCCGAATAAGGACGAACATGGTAGCCGCACCACTATGCTTTGTGGAAGTAGAGGGTGTACGACAATTTATCAAGTTTTTAGCAAATAAAATAAGGCGCAAAGGAATTTGCATATTTAGCAACTGTTTTGGGTAGGTATTCACTTCCAGACCCTCCTACGTCTGTGAGGGAGAAATTACCCTCAAGAAAGCCATGCTACATGGAAACTCAGCAGTGGTAAAACCATCTGCCTTTCAGCGTAGATGCTGTGTGCCCTTTGTCACATCTAGCCCCAATCCAAATGACTTTCACAAATCACAGAATCCAGTGCTGAAATGCATGGAAGTTCAAAGCGCCAGCATTTTTAAACAATGCACAGAAGTTGAAAACCACACTACAGTCAGAAGTGTGAAGATTTTATGCCTTTCTCTTTTACAAGCACATGGAAATGCATGGAAAAGCTTCATAATTGTCAAGGAAGTCAAAAAAAGCAAGTACATAAATGAGTGTTGATTTGATACCTAAGAACATTTCGGTGAAGTTTGTTCAATCAAGGATTTTTTTTTCCAGATCAAAAGTGATGTCAGACCGAAACAGAACAAAAACCATACCCGGATGCTAGCCAAATTGGCAAACAACTGTTCGAGGGTTTCCTTCTCTACAGTGGAACTGCCAAGGGTGAAG